GTGAGGAACCTTGTCCTCAGCGTTAAGAACCTTTATCCTTGTTCGCAGCTTGAGGAACCTTGTGGTCAACGTGAGGAACAACGTCCTCAGGGTGAGGAACCTTGTTCTCGGCGCGAGGAACCTTGTCCTCAGCGTGAGAAACCTTGTCTTCAACGTGAGGAACCTTGTCCTCAGCGTGAGAAACCTTATCCTCAGCGTGAGGAACCTTGTCGTCAGCGTGAGGAACCTTGTCCTCAGCGTTAAGAACCTTTTCCTCAGCGTGAGGGACCTTGTTCTCAGCGTGAGGTCCTCAGCGTGAGGGACCTTGTTCTCAGCGTGAGGATCCTTGTTCGCAGCTTGAGGAACCTTGTCCTCAGCGTGAGGAACCTTGTCTTCAACGTGAGGAAATTTGTCCTCAGCGTGAGAAACCTTATCCTCAGCGTGAGGGACCTTGTCTTGAGCGTTAGGAACCTTGTCCTCAGCGTGAGAAAGATTGTCCTCAGCGTGATGAACCTTCTCCCCAGCGTGAGGAACGTTGTCCTCAGCGTGAGGAACTTTATCCTCAGCGTGAGGAACGTTGTCGTCAGCATTAGGAACCTTGTCCCTAGCGTCAGGAACATTGTCCTCGGTGTGAGGAACCTTGTCTTCAGCGTTAGGAACCTTGTCCTCAGCGGGAGGGACCTTGTCTTCAACGTGAGGGACCTTGTCCTCAGCGTGGGGAACCTTATCCTCAGCGTGAGGGACCTTGTCTTCAGCGTTAGGAACCTTGTCCTCAGCGTGAGCAACCTTGTCCTCTGCGTGAGGAAGCTTTTCCTCAGCGTGAGGAACCTTGTCCTCAGCGTGAGGAACCTTAACCGCAGCGTGAGGAACCTTGTCTTCAGCGTTAGAAACCTTGTCCTCAGCTTGAGGAACCTTGTCGTCAGCGTTAGGAACCTTGTCCTCAGCGTGAGGAACCTTGTCCTCAGAGTGAGAAACCTTGTCCTCAGCGTGAGGAACCTTTTCCTCAGAGTGCGGAACCTGGTCCTCAGAGTGTGGAACCTTGTCCTCAGCGTGAAGAACCTTGTCGTCAGCGTGAGCAACCTTGTCCTCAGCCTGAGCAACATTGTCCTCAGCATGAGGAACCTTGTCGTAAGCGTGAGGAATTTTGCCCTCGGCGTGAGGAACCTTGTCCTCAGTGTGAGGAACCTTGTCCTCAGCGTAAATAACCTTATCCTAAGCGTGAGGATCCTTGTTCTCTGCGTAAGGAACCTTGTCCTCGGCGTGAGGAACCTTGTCGTCAGCGTGAGGAACCTTTTCCTCAGCGTTAAGAACCTTTTCCTCAGCGTGAGGGACCTTGTTCTCAGCGTGAGGATCCTTGTTCGCAGCTTGAGGAACCTTGTGGTCAAGGTGAGGAACAATGTCCTCAGGGTGAGGAACCTTCTCCTCGGCGCGAGGAACCTTGTCCTCAGCGTGAGAAACCTTGTCTTCAGCGTGAGAAACCTTGCCCTCAGCGTGAGGAACTTTCTCCTCAGCGTTAGGAACCTTGTCTTCAAAGTGAGGAAACTTGTCCTCAGCGTGAAGAACCTTGTGTTCAGCGTGAGCAACCTTGTCCTCAGCGTGAGCAACGTTGTCCTCAGCGTGAGGAACCTTGTCCTCGGTGCGACGAACCTTGTCCTCTGCGTAAGAAACCTTGTCTTCAGCGTCAGAAACCTTGTCCTCGGCGTGAGGAACCTTATACTCAGCGTTAGGAACCTTGTCTTCAACGTGAGAGAAACTTGTCCTCAGCGTGAGGAACCCTGTCCCTAGCGTGAGGAACCATGTCCTCAGCGTTAAGAACCTTGTCCACAGCGTGAGGAACCTTGTCCTCAGCGTTAAGGACCTTGTCCTCAGCGCAAGGAACCTTGTCCTCAGGGTAAGGACCCTTTTCCGCAGCGTGAGGAACCTTCTCCTCAGCGTGAGGAACCTTTCCTCAGCGGGAGAAACCTTGTCTTCAGCGTGAGAAACCTTGCCTTCAGCGTGAGGAGCCTTGTCCTCAGCGTTAGGAACCTTCTCTTCAACGCGAGGAAACTTGTCTTCAGCGTGAGGAACCTTGTCCTCAGCGTGAGGAACCTTGCCCTCAACGTGAGAAACCTTGTCCTCAGCGTGCGCAACGTTGTCCTCAGCGTGAGGAACCTTGTTTTCAGCGTGATGAACCTTTTCCTCAGCGTGAGCAACCTTGTCCTCAGAGTGTGGAACCCTGTCCTAAGCGTGAGGAACCTCGTCTTCGGCGTGAGGAACCTTGTCCTCAGCGTCAGGAATCTTGTTCTCAGCGTGAGGAACCTTATCCTAAGCGTTAAGAACCTTGTTCTCTGCGTAAGGAACCTTGTCCTCGGCGTGCGGAACCTTGTCGTCAGCGTGAGGAACCTGGTCCTCAGCCTGAGGAACCTTGTTCTCAGCGTGAGGAACCTTGTTTTCAGCGTTAAGGACCTTGTCCTCAGCGTAAGGAACCTTGTCCTCAGCGTGAGGACCTTTTCCGCAGCGTGAGGAACCTTGTCCTCAGCGTGAGGAACCTTGTCCTGAGCGTGAGGAACCTTGTCGTCAGCGTGAGGAACCTTGTTCCCAGTGTGAGGAACCTTCTCCTCAGCGTGAGGAACCTTGTCCTCAGCGTTAAGAACCTTGTCCTCAGCGAGAGGAACCTTGTCCGCAGCGTGAGGAACCTTGTCCTCAGCGTGAGGAACCTTGTCCTCAGCGTGAGGAACCTTGTCCTCAGTGGGAGGAACCTTATCCTAAGCGGGAAGAACCTTGTTCTCTGCGTAAGGAACCTTGCCCTCGGCGTGAGGAAGCTTGTCGTCAGCGTGAGGAACCTTGTCCTCAGCGTTAAGAACCTTTTCCTCAGCGTGAGGGACCTTGTGCTCAGCGTGAAGAACCTTGTCCGCAGCGTGAGGAACCTTGTGTTCAACGTGAGGAATCTTGTCCTCAGCGTGAGGAACCTTGTCCTCAGCGTGAGGAACCCTATCCGAGGCGTGAGGAGCCTTCTTTTCATCATGAGGAACCTTGTCTTCACAGTGAGAAACCTTGTCCTCAGCGGGTGGAGCCTTGTCCTCAGCGTGAGGAACCTTGACCTCAGCGTGAGGAACCTTGTCCTAAGCTCGTGGAACCTTGTCCTCAGCGTGAGGAACCTTGTCCTCAGCGTGAGGAACCTTATCCTAAGCGTGCAGAGCCTTGCTCTCTGCGTAAGGAACCTTGTAATCGGCTTGAGGAACCTTGTCCTCAGCGTGAGCAACCTTGTCCTCAGCGTTAAGAACCTTGTCCTCAGCGTGAGGAACCTTGTCCTCAGCGTGAGGAACCTTGTCTGCATCGTGAGGAACCTTGTCCTAAGCGTGAGGAACCTTGTCCTCAGCGTGAGGAACTTTTCCTAAGCGTGTGGAACCTTGTCCTCAGCGTAAGGAACCTTGTCCTCGGCGCGAGGAACCTTGTCCTCAGCGGGAGAAACCTTGTCTTCAGCGTGAGAAACTTTGTCCTCAGCGTGAGGAACCTTGTCCTCAGCGTTAGGAACCTTGTCTTCAACGTGAGGAAACTTGTCTTCAGCGTGAGGAACCTTGTCCTCAGCGTGAGGAACCTTGCCCTCAGCGTGAAAACCTTGTCCTCAGCGTGAGCAACGTTGTCCTCAGCGTGAGGAAGCTTGTTGTCAGCGTGATGAATCTTTTCCTCAGCGTGAGCAACCTTGTCCTCAGAGTGTGGAACCTTGTCCTAAGCGTGAGGAACCTTGTCTTCGGCGTGAGGAACCTTGTCCTCAGCGTGAGGAATCTTGTTCTCAGCGTGAGGAACCTTATCCTAAGCGTCAAGAACCTTGTTCTCTGCGTTAGGAACCTTGTCCTCGGCGTGCGGAAGCTTGTCGTCAGCGTGAGGAACCTTGTCCTCAGCGTGAAGAACCTTGTCCTCAGTGTGAGGAACTTTGTCCTCAGCGTTAAGGACCTTGTCCTCAGCGTAAGGAACCTTGTCCTCAGCGTGAGGACCCTTTTCCGCAGCGTGAGGAACCTTGTCCTCAGCGTGAGGAACCTTGTCCTCAACGTGAAGAACCTTGTCGTCAGCGTGAGGAACCTTGTTCCCTGCGTGAGGAACCTTCTCCTCAGCGTGAGGAACCTTGTCCTCAGCGTTAAGAACCTTGTCCTCAGCGAGAGGAACCTTGTTCGCAGCGTGAGGAACCTTGTCCTCAGCGTGAGGAACCTTGTCCTCAGCGTGAGGAACTTTGTCCTCAGCGGGAGGAACCTTATCCTAAGCGTAAGGAACCTTGCCCTCGGCCTGAGGAACCTTGTCGTCAGCGTGAGGAACCTTGTGTTCAACGTGAGGAATCTTGTCCTCAGCGTGAGGAACCTTGTCTTCAGCGTGAGGAACCCTATCCGAAGCGTGAGGAGCCTTCTTTTCATCGTCTGGAACCTTGTCTTCACAGCGAGAAACCTTGACCTCAGCGGGTGGAGCCTTGTCCTCAGCGTGAAGAACCTTGTCCTCAGCGTGTGGAACCTTGTCCTCAGCGTCAGGAAGCTTGTCCTCAGCGTGAGGCACGTTGTCCCTAGCGTGAGGAACCTTGTCTTCAACGTGTGGAAGCTTGTCCTCGGGGTGAGGAACCTTGCACTTGGCGTGGGGAAACTTGCACTCGACGTGAGGAACCTTGTCCTCAGCGTGAGGAACCTTGTCCTCAGCGTGATGAACATTGTCTTCAACGTGAGGAACCTTGTCCTCAGCGTGAGGAACCTTGTCCTCAGCGTGAGGAACCTTGTCTTCAGCGTGAGAAACATTGTCCTCAGCGCGAGGAACCTTCTCCTCAGCGTTAGGAACCTTGTCTTCAACGTGAGGAAACTTGTCCACAGCGTGAGGAACCTTGTCCTCGGCGTGAGGAACGTTGTCCTCGGATGTGAGGAACCTTGTCCTCAGCGTGAGGAACCTTCTCCTCAGCATGATGAACCTTGTGCTCAGTGTGAGGAACCTTGTCCTCAGCGAGAGGAACTTTGTCTTCAGCGTTAGGAACCTTGTCCTCAGAGTGAGGAATCTTGTCCTCAGCGCGAGGAACCTTGTGTTCAGGGTGAGAAACCTTGTCCTCAGCGTGAGGAACCTTGTCCTCAGCGTGAGGAACCTTGTCTTCAGCGCTAGGAACCTTGTCCTCAGCGTGAGGAACCTTGTCCTCAGCGTGAGGAGCCTTTTCTTCAACGTGAGGAACCTTGTGCTGAGCGTGAGGAACCTTTTCCTCAGCGTGAGGAACCTTGTACTCAGCGTGAGGAAATTTGTCCTCAGCGTGAGGAAGCTTCTCCTCCTCGTGAAGAACCTTGGCCTCAGCGTGAGGAACCTTGTCCTCAGCTTGAGGAACCTTGTCCTCAGCGTGAGGCACCTTGACCTCAGCGTGCGGAACCTTGTCTTCAACGTGAGGAACCTTGTCCTCAGCGTGAGGAACATTGTCCTCGGCGTCAGCAACCTTGTCTTCAGCGTTAGGAACCCTGTCCTCAGCGGGAGGAACCTTGTCTTCAACGTGAGGAACCTTGCCCTCAGCGTGAGAAACCTTATCCTCAGCGTGAGGGTCCTTGTCTTCAGCGTGATGAACCTTCTCCCCAGCGTGAGGAACGTTGTCCTCAGCGTGAGGAACCTTATACTCAGCGTGAGGAACGTTGTCGTCAGCATTAGGAAGCTTGTCCTCAGCGTGAGGAACATTGTCCTCGGCGTGAGGAACCTTGTCGTCAGCGTGAGGAACCTTTTCCTCAGCGTTAAGAACCTTTTCCTCAGCGTGAGGGACCTTGTTCTCAGCGTGAGGATCCTTGTTCGCAGCTTGAGGAACCTTGTCGTCAACGTGAGGAACCTTGTCCTCTGCGTGAGGAACCTTCTCCTCAGCGTGAGGAACCTTGTCCTCAGCGTTAAGAACCTTGTCCTCAGCGTGAGGAACCTTGTCCGCAGCGTGAGGAACCTTGTCCTCAGCGTGAGGAACCTTGTCCTCAGCATGAGGAACCTTATCCGAAGCGTGAGGAACCTTGTCCTTGGCGTGAGCAACGTTGTCCTCGGCGTGAGGAACATTGTCCTCAGCGTGTGGAACCTTGTCTTCAGCGTGAGAATCCTTGTCCTGAGCGTGAGGAATCTTCTCCTCAGCGTGAGGAGCCTTGTCCTCAGTGTGTGGAACCTTGTCGTCAGCGTGAGGAAGCTTGTCCTCAGCGTGAGGAACCTTGTCCTAAGCGTGAGGAACCTTGTCCTCGGCGTGAGGAACCTTGTCCTTCACCTAGGCCTGCTTTCTCTACCTTGAGCTGGACACATTTCAAGTCACAAAATGACTTTTGTAGGACTTCATTACACAGCGTGTAGTCTTTACCATTAGACAACATGCTCGTTTTGGAAGCCTATTGCAACTTATTCACCTACACCTTTTTTGTATAGCTTGTACAAATGAAAATCAACCATTTTCAAATCACAAAATGGCCCATGCAGGACTTGAACCACAACTGGTTGATTACGCAGCCTGCAGACTTTATCACTAGACCACTTCATCGCAACTTATTCACATTATTTTTTCTCTAGCTTCTCTAATTATAATTCAACCATTCTCCAATCCCAAAATGACTTCTGTATGACTTGAACCACAATGGGTCGTTCCAGAAAAGATCCACACTCCCCCCACGGAGAAAATTTCTGCCGTCCGGAGGGGGAGGGGAGACAAAATTGTTTCTGATAATAGTAAATGTATTAGGACATTCAAAGGGGGTAGGGGGGGGGGGGTTAACTTCCAATTTCCTCTGTGGGGGTGGTATGGATGTTTTCTGGAATGACCCAATGGTGTACCATTGTAATACACAGTCTGTAGTCCTTACCACTAGACCACTTACTCGTCTTTGAAAGCCTATCGTAACTTACTCACCTGATATTTTTTCTATAGCTTGTATTATTAATATTCGACACATTTCAAGTCACAAAATGACTTCTGTAGGACTTGAACCACAGCTGGTAGGTAGTCAATTTATCCCGGGCGTTCTGTGACATTGCATAGCCTGTAGTCTTTACAAGTAGCCATTTGCTCGTTGTTTGAAGCCTATCGCAAGCTTATGGACCTCCTTTTTTCTCTCTAGCTTGTGTAATTATATTCGACACATTTCAAGTCACAAAAACCACAATGGTACATTACACAGCATGTAGTCGTTAGCACTAGACCACTTGCTCGTTGTTTGAAGCCTAGCGCAAATTCTTCACCATATTTTTTTTCTCTAGCTTGTATAATTGATATACGTTGTTTGAAGCCTAGCGCAACTTATTCACCTTATTATTAGCAGTAATGTGGAATAGAGTGAATCAAGGTCAATTACCAGACTGCACGTAGGATAAAATAGACATTTAATAATTTATTCTTAATTATAAAACAATTACATTCATTTTTCCTACTTATATACATGTCGGATGTAGTAGATATTTGTAAAGTTTATTTGACTGACTACTGGATTATTCCTGCTGTTTTTAAAGTTTGACTTTCATGTGTATTCAGTTCATTGTTGAATGAGGGGAATGAAGGATGTCCTGAGAAAGCCCGAAGAAACTCGAGAAGATAGTTCTAAAATAAATTGAAGAAACCAACTTAACTTCTTTGATAAATATTATTAGTATTTTTGCACAGGTGAATATAACAAATCCTACAAATGGTCAAATTTGACGTATTAAGCTGTTACATTCACCCACAGGTGAATGTAACAGAACCATATCAGTGAACAGAACCAAAATTTGCAAAATGGCGGTTAGCCGTTTTGTGGAAGTTACCGCATGATAAAGAAATAAGCATAAATTAGAATAAATTCAGTCCCACAAAACACTTGTGTAAAAATATGCATGGCGATTAGGGACCGAAGCATTAATAATTACGAATTATGATTAATTGTTATTTAACAATTATTCGCCTAAGGCGAGGTGTATATCGGGGAAAGTTCACCGAGACGAAGTCGAGGTGAATATTCCCCGATAATCACCGAGCTTGAGGCGAATAATTGTTCAAGTTGTTTTAGTATGAATTTTGAAAAGTATTTTTCCCTGTACGCAATTCTAATTTCACCTAACATTGCAAAAACCTCTTTTTTCTTGGAATCCCTTGGGATTAGATGAACACCATTTCTTATCCATTGAACTATATTGGGAAACTGGAATGATAGGTCAGGGGGGGGATTGAAGCCGTCCTTAAAAAAGCTCAGGATAATGAACAATACCTGGGGCCGGTTGTACCAAGGCCGGATAGCGCTATCCACCGGATACTGATTTTTTCAAGCTTTGTTAAATCAGTCGTTGACTGGTATAACTCATATTAAAGTTTAGTATAATTTATAAGTTAAATGTCTTTTTATACTTCTTGTGTCGTCTATATCCGTAGTTTCATAGTTTTTCAAGCATTTTACAAAAGTTGAAAAATCACTGTCCGGTGGATAGCGCTATCCAACCTTCGTACAACCGGCCCCTGGAGGTTAGAACAAAATAAGTTTTGGGACTGTCAAAATGTTTTATAGTGTATTTTTTTAGTTGAAGAGCGAAGTTTCCTTCGGTACGTCCAAATTTTCGTTATGTTTTTCAAAATACAACATTAAAACCTTTTGCTTTTCCTCACTTTTTGCTGCAGATAGATGTAAAATAAAACAGTCGGAACTAATCGGAAAACCAGGTTTGAATCCCAATCATTGTAGTATTCCCATGGAAAAAAGTGTTTTCCTTGTAAATTTTTGTTGAAAAACAAACTTTTGACTGAAAATTTTTATCACTCCTCGAAACTCCTTAGTCCTTTTGAAAGCTGATTACGCGCGCGTCGGCTTCAACCAATCATAGGCCTTTATCATAGGAGTTAGCATTCCAGTTTACTTCTATAGTTCAATGGTCTTATCCAATTTATGTGCACGAAATATTTTCGCGCTTGTCTTAACTTAACGCTTGTCTTGAAGAGCATGAAGCATGCAGTGTTTCCATTCCACTTCTGAACCATCCACAGAGAAATGAAAAACTAGTTTCATATTTTGTTGTACCCTGCAGTGTCAGAATAATATGAAACTAGTTTTTCGTATTTTTGAGGACGGTTCTGAAGTAGATTTGAAACAGTATAATACACGAGAGTTCCTCAGACGACAATGTTACGAATGCGTGCGTGTCACAGGCACTACATGTAAACTATTGTAGACTTATATTGAAGTGTTTACCTGGATATCCATACTGTATATAGGATCTTCCAAAATATCGGGGTCATCCTCCGGTTCATCGGCAGGAAAATCAAATAAACTGTCAAACCCTGTGATGAAGGTACGATATTTAATATTGAAACTTGTTCTAGATAAACATGCATGTATGTTGCAAGGTTTAAAGTTAGAAAACGTCAAATGATAAAAATTAGTATGGTATTTATACAGTGTGTCTAAAAAAAAAGTGAACCCTTTCAAATTCAAATCAGCTATAAGGTATTGTAGTAATTTGACAGTTCTAATTGCTTTGAATTAATGGTTGGGTAAGAACACAAGGAATACTGTATTTCTTTTAAATTTTCTAATTTTTATTTCTTTGAGTTTTGTTCCATGAGTACAAGACCTTGTGTTCTTACCCAATCATTACTTCAAAGCAATTAGAGCTGTCAATTTACTACAACACGTTATATAGCTAATTTGAAAGGGTTCACTTTTTTATACATGCACACTGTATAATTAATTAAACAGCTAGTTTCTCATTCAAGAGATTAGCAAACAATTCAACAGCAAAAAGTCAGATCCAGTGAAATAAGAAATCTGGTCTATCCTAGGGATGGTCTATCCTAGGGTGCTTTCCATTTAATGGCCTGACCGGTCAGATCGCAATTTTTGTCTCTGTATCACTGGAAACATCTAGTCTATTGTTTTCATATTTCTAGCGAAAATGGACCTCATTCTAATTTTATCAAAGTTTTCCGGTCAGATAGGTCCAAAGCCCAAACGTTTTGTGTTTCATTCAACAATTAAATCATAAGTGCATTATGATGTACAAAATTTTTAATGACTTAGCTCCAGCATATCTCAAAAAACACTTTTCTTTATAGCTCTGACACGAACAAATATTCTCTGCGGAGTAATTACATATTATTGACTAAACCGAAAACTGAATTTATGAAAAAAAAAGTTATTTGCTAGAGCTAAACTATGGAATGGTCTACCAGCTGATTTGAAACTTTACAGCAACGTTGCCGTCTTTCAAAAGGGGCTTGACAAGCCATAATTTGATAAACATCTCAGTTTCAAATTATTGTCGATTTCAGGTAACTTTTCAACACGCTAGTTTCTCATTCAAGAGATTAGCAAACAATTCAACAGCAAAAAGTCAGATCCAGTGAAATAAGAAATCTGGTCTATCCTAGGGATGGTCTATCCTAGGGTGCTTTCCATTTAATGGCCTGACCGGTCAGATCGCAATTTTTGTCTCTGTATCACTGGAAACATCTAGTCTATTGTTTTCATATTTCTAGCGAAAATGGACCTCATTCTAATTTTATCAAAGTTTTCGGGTCAGATAGGTCCAAAGCCCAAACGTTTTGTGTTTCATTCAACAATTAAATCATAAGTGCATTATGATGTACAAAATTTTTAATGACTTAGCTCCAGCATATCTCAAAAAACACTTTTCTTATAGCTCTGACACGAACAAATATTCTCTGCGGAGTAATTACATATTATTGACTAAACCAAAAACTGAATTTATGAAAAAAAAATTTATCTGCTACAGCTAAACTATGGAATGGTCTACCAGCTGATTTGAAACTTTACAGCAACCTTGCCGTCTTTCAAAAGGGGCTTGACAAGCCATAATTTGATAAACATCTCAGTTTCAAATTATTGTCGATTTCAGGTAACTTTTCAACACGCTGTTCCCAAGTTCGTTGCGAACTTGCCACGTTGTCAAGTTCGGACGCTGGGCGTGAACTTTGCAACGAAGTTCGCAACTTCATTTCAAAGTTCAAACTTTGATTGTAAACAAATGTTCACAGTTGGAGTTGAAATTACTCTATAAGGCCCTATGCACATATTACTGCAATAACATATTGGTCCAGTGGTCTCCCAAGACGAAATAGCCTTTTTAAATAAATTTATAAATGAAATTTTTACATTTGTTTACAATCGAAGTTCGAACTTTGAAATGAACTTGCGAACTTCGTTGCGAAGTTCACGCCCAACTTCCGAATTTGGAAACGTAATTGGCAAGTTGACGATAAACTTGGGAACCGCGCTTTGAAAAGTAATCTGAATCGACAATAATTCAAGTTTTTCTTATTATTTGTAAATATGTAAATATTCTTATTTTCTATATTCGGCTCTTAAGAATAGTAAATTGATTAAGACACTGAATTCAAATAAATTTTGAAAAAGAAGAAGTTGTTTGTCTTGCTAGTCTCGGTCGTAAATTCTGGGTCGCATCGTGACATGGATATCTATATTCTTTTGACGGCCTCACTTTTGCAATATGCCAAAACGAATTTTTGTACTGTGGGTACATGCTAACACCACATGAAGGTTTAAATCAAATATACCAAATGTTTTGGCCTTTAATGGCTTATCTTGAATCGATAGTGGATGGGTTTTTGTAGACGGAATTTTCGAACATAAATTTCTATACACTTTGTAGACCTAACCAGCAGTTGCGGAAAATACAATTACAGGCCCTCTGACAGGAATCGAACCTGCGGTCCTGATTAATCCAGGATCGGTTATATTCTTAAAGTAAATTCAATTATCTTACCCGGAAAATCTGCAGCTGGAGCAAAAACGGATCCAAGTAAATTTTTCATAGCTCCACCGGCGCTCATGTCTTCTTCGTCATCCCATTCCTCATCGTCCTAGTGAAGAATTTCGGAGAATATAATCATCCCCGCCGGATATTCGTGGGGCAATTTATCACCAGCCATGGATACTCGTGATCCAGGCGGGGTCGGGGTGAGAAGGGGCAATTTATGACTAGCTATATGCTTTGCTTTAATAACAATTACCTTTAAAACCCTAAAATCCTGATAGGCTATTATTTAAACACATATATGCATCAAATGTGAGCCGTAAAGTATTCACGAAATTTGAGAGTGTAGAAAAACTGAGATTTGGAGTAACACAAGGACGGGATCCGAAGCCCATGAATAATTATTCCCATACAGGTGTGACTTTCCAGACATTGTACTATCGGAACTAAATACATTGTATGTTGATACAAATAGGGCTGATTCATGTATTTATTTCCATTCAGCTTCGTTTTCATGATCATACGTGTGGCCCTTAAAGTATAAACAGTACTAACGTCACCAACAACGAGAAAAAGCTCAAAAGCAAAGGTATCAATTCTGCAACCACCATTTCGGCACCAAAATCGCAATACCATGTCAAGCACAATTTCACGTGTACCTCAACTACTGCATCTCATGCAGTAGATGTAGCACACTTTATTTTGTGGAAACTGCAAGACCGTTAAGGACAAGGATTGGTGAGCGCCGGCGTGAAGACTTTGGCAATGATGCTAACCAGCCTGTTGCCAGGGATTTTAATCGTTGCAATCACGCTGGTTCAGATGTGAAAATTCGAGCACTGTCGCACTTCTGGAAGCAAAGAGAGCCGCAAAAACAAGAAATGCGCCTCATTTCCAATTATTAATGAACGTTTTACCTATGTTTAGCTTTATCTGCCTTTGCCTATCAAAAGCAGACATTGACAGTATCTTATTCTGTACTTGTTTTATATATTATTTTACAAATCTTATGGTTCCAGTACACCATTGTCCATGAATTTCAGCTTCAATGATCCCGTATCCCTATGAATTTTCCATTAAATATCCTGTATCCCGATACCCCTAATAGAGCCTGTATAGTGCAGTTGGCGAATCTTGCCGTATTTATCAAATCACTCACTTCATCCGAACCTTCTTCAACATCATCACTGTTCGGATATAAATTTGACAATTCATCCACAATCAGTTTATAAAATTTTAACGGTGCTTGGATTTGCGTCCACTTTTCAGGTTCTGCAAAAAAACACAAAAACGTTAGAAAAAAAGAAAGAAAGAAAAACGTCCAAATAAAGAAAAACGTCCAAATAAACACAACTTGTCGCGTGACCAGGGAAAACAGTGGAACAGCTCAAATAACATTAAATATTCCCCGTGCAAATACATTAACATATCAAAACAGTTTTAATTGCAGATCTTCTAGGACATTTAACTGTTTACCATCGGATTTACGTCAACCAAATCTCTCAATTAATCAACTTAAATGTAATCTCTTTAAACACTATTAGAAAATTTCTGAAGAAATTTGTGACATTGGTGTGCCACAAACTATCAAAACAATCTGTGTTAAATGTCATTCATGTCGTCCCTTGTCTACTCTTTCTGTTAAATCGTGTTGTTTTAAATAATTATCACTTATATATATGTATTCTGTATAATAGTTAAGGTTACCCGTAAAGGAGTGTTCAGCTCTGTGGGTATAACCTGTCATTTATCTTGATTGTCAAATAAAATAAAATAAACTCACTGAATAAAAAGCCTAAAGGTCCAGATACACCGGACGCGATTCGACAACGCGACGCGATGTTTTAATTTTGAAAGTTAATAAAACAGCAAATGAGAGCAAAATTTTGAAGGATATGTAGAACAAATAACTCAAAATGTTATAGCGCTTCTAAATATTTGGAAAATTCAAACTAGGATCAAAGTTATCGGTCAGTGAAAATTGAAAAATCGCGTCGCGTTGTCGAATCGCGTCCGGAGTGTATATGGACTTTAAAATGAGTAAAATTGCAAAGATTGGTCGCGAAATGTTGTAAAACACGAAAAAATATAGCCCTGTGAAATTAGCAAATCTTGAGTATTTTAGTATTACATGCGGGATTACTTTCGGCTCAAAAGTGGCGCATTTTTCCGCGCATAATAAAATACTCAAGATTTGCTAATTTCACAGGGCTATATTTTCTGTATTTTACAACATTTTGCAACCAAATTTGCTATAATGATAGATTTCGTCCTTCTTGTCTGGATCAAAATTTAGTGTATAGTTGGAATCATCTATTGAAAAAGTTCCTCAATCTTCTTTGGTAACAAGATCCCAACTTTTTCCAGGATTGCAATGGATGATGTTCGACCAACATGCTTCAGGGGCTCGTTTGAACAGGCCTTCAGGTGGAGTTACACGCGCAACAAAATTGCTGCAACTTGCAACGAAATCTGATTTCAACGCATGTTAATTGAAAATGTTTACACATAAATTACAAATCACAAGGCAACATGTGCCGACATTTCTACTTAACATGCGTTGAAATCAGATTTTGTTGCAAGTTGCAGCAATTTTGTTGCTCGTGTAACTCCAGCTTTAGTATGCATATAAACTGGAAGTAGTAGAAAAAGAGTTCTTGCCCCTCCTCTTTTTCGTAACGTAAAATGACCCCTTTACACCCATCTTACTCCTTATCCCCCCTTCCCCAATGTTCACAGGACAAGCCGTTAGGTTCAGTAATGAATAAATGGAAATACACGGCAAGAAGGAAACAACTAAACTGTAGTTTGGTCTGTCCATAAAGGCAATTTTTATTTTAAACTTACGTTTTGCAGCTTTCGATCTGGTTCTAATGCCTGTGGGAAAAATACATTGAGTAAATATCTATTGGATTCAATAAATAGGAAAGAAAATGAGGGATGACTACCGAGTAATAACTCGTATTATAAGACGCTAGTGACTTTCTTCACCCCAATGCATGGGTGATAACGTCATCATTGCGACTTTAGATCACCCCTGACGAAGACACTAGAGTGAAGAGTCGAAATGTTGGCTTGTAAATGTTTGTTTGGAGATTGCACTACTGTATTTAAACCAGAGTAGCGAGCAAAATAACGTCTGAAATAAACAAGTATAAAATTATATACAATACCAGTTTCATGATCCACACGTCTCTCTCCATTCACGATGATATCATTAAGTCTCCTATCTCCATTATTTATTGTATGTTCCAGTAATTTACACATTGAAAGTATCCTAGGTATAGAACGAGAAGAATGTAAACATGTACAGTATAGTCAATATCACAACAGATCATTTTTACTAGGTGATCATGTGACAAATTCTAAAAATCCATACTATAAAGCTACGATATTGGCATTTTCACATGTTTACTACATCGCTACTACGCGGGTGCAAGCTAAGAAACGATTTTGGGTTGACAATATTTCTCCTTAAGTTACAGAGTTTTTAAAATGCACCATTTTCAGAGGCTAACCTCAATAAAATTCAAAACATTTGGCTTCATCTGAGCACTTTCCCCTGAGCTACCAACATGGAAGCGAAACCAATATAAGGGAGAGTTTTAGCCATGATGTTTAGATTCTTTTTACGGTTCGATTAGGCGCTACCTCTTAACCTTGACCAAGCATTTTAAAACCATGTTGTACATATCAATAATATATTAACAATAATATGTTTCAAAAATTAATAGAGAGGTTCAGATTTGACTTCCACTACTGTTACCTCTCACTGGCTTAGTACGCATCTGATTGGTTAATCGGATATATCAAACGGATCTGATTGGTTAATCGGATATATCAAACGCATCTGATTGGTTAATCGGATATATCAAAAGCATCTGATTGGTTATGGTGGTAGCGGCAGTGGAAGTCAAATCTCAACCTCTATAATTACGAACCTCTATAAATTACGAATTATTAAGACGGTTTGCAATATGTACAGTACCATATATATAAATTGTACGTAGATTTCTATTTTTTTTTTTGCTTTCAAGAGTAACATGTTGCTGAGATCTGGCTTTGGTAGAATTGACATGGCTTGACGTTTTATGCACAGGAGTGAAGATTTATGAACAGCCATTCAACAAGTGCAAATTGGGCCTCAACTGGCATTTCTATATAGGAATGCCCAGAGGGCAAATGTTGATGGATGTATACCAGTATGAAGTAACTGTAAGAAGAGAGATACGTCACACCAACCTAACTTTAGAATCGTAGGTGCCGTAGAATTCCTGTTGTCTCGTGCACCATATATTGACAACGAAATCCAGAGCAGATTTCCCAGAAGGATCGGGTACGTTTGAAAGGAAGTTAAGAGTGTCTTGAAGTCGATAGTACATTAGGTTGATGAACACCATCATTAAAGACTAGTAAAAAGAAAGAACAGAAATGAAAGGTGGAATAGCACGAAACTGCGACGATATATTTATTTTCGTATTTAACTATACCATATAAAAAAAATTATGATGTACTCTTTGGAATAGTGCGTGTATAAAAGGATTTAAATGGTCGATATCTCATGTAGCCTTACCTGAATTACAGTTAGTGTATCAGATTGTTGTAATTTACTAAGTGTTTCTCGCAACATAACGTCCAATTTATCTCCCAAATTCTGTCCCGCCTAAGATGAAAAGTGATTATGTGTACACATTAAGGCTCTGGCGTGGATATAGGCTCAATACTAACAACCATACGGGAACAAGGATAGTCCTGCCCAGTACCCATTCGAAGGATAGGATGACTAATTATTTAATAGGTATAATAATATAAAGCCATGTCAACGAGGACAACAGTTAATGAGAGCTCCAATAATAAAATTTGAACCAGCCAATGTAGAGAGTTCATGCACTATCGATGAGAGTTGGCGGTCAAACACAAAGGAGAATAGACCTTATGCATAATGACGTCACAAGGCTTGATTCCCGCAAGGAATGCTGGTCTTAGTAGTCATCGCCCGGGAAAATTTAACAATTCTAAATGGCCACTATCGAAATTTTCCCGGGCGATGACTACTACAGTAAGACCAGCATTTCTTGCGGGTATCAAGCCTTGTGACGTCATTATGCATAAGGTCTATTCTCCTTTGTGTTTGACCGCCAACTCTCATCGATTTTGCATGAACTCTCTACATTGGCTGGTTCAAATTTTAATAAGAGTGGATGAGAGTTTTTGCTCGTTTGCCCAGTAATATATCCATCCAAACCTCATGCATTAACTCGAATTACGAGGACTTATGCAGCAACAAAGGAGGAGGGCGGGCGGGATTGCCAACCTAAATTCACACCCAAAAAAATTTGTATCGTGTTTGCCATACTCCATGTTGAAACAAATTGTTGAAAGGTTTTGTAGGTGGAAATTTTGAGTGCAAATTTTATGCATTTATTTGAATTATTGTGAACTTGCGGTTAGGGTTCGAGAAGTTGGTTAGAGCGATGGACCTCAGTTCGTTAGAGCCACTTCAGAGTTCTTAACCGGAATCGCAGGGCCGCAGGTTCAATTCCTGCCAGAGGGCCTATATATATATATATATATATATATATATATATATATATATATATATATATATATATATATATATATATATATATATATATATATATATTTAAAATAATCATTAAAAATTCATAAACCTTGTGGCAAATCATGTTAGCCATAATATGTCACGTGGAGTGACTTTATATCTGATAAAGTCATCTTCATTAGTATTCTTTATATAATTCTTCATCCTAATTAGTATGATTATATAATTGTTCATCCTAATTAGTATTCTTTTGTAGTCGTATTTTAAGCTATAAAAAACACTCCTTCTCGTGTTTTAAATACTATATATATATATATATATATATATATATATATATATATATATATATATATATATATATATATATATATATATATATATATATATATATATAGTATAACTATATATATATATCTAGTATAACTATATATATATATATAGTTATATATATA